GCTTTCACCAACGGCCTTTTCCATTGTCAGTTGACTATCGTAGCTCAGTGCCACCCTGGTAGAACGAAGAATGTGAGACAATCAAACATGAAATCAAATCTGAGATCCTGGCTGTTGCAGCATTCAGCTGAAATTCAATTCCCTTACCAGTTTCTCGATCCGTTGACCATTGGAACTCCCTTGATAGAGACGACATTCCCTAGGTTTTTGAACTTTGCAAGGACCTCATCATACTGTTGGTTTGTGCTAAATCCAAATACTAGGATCCAGAATTCGTCAAAAGCACGAGGGACAATGGCGTTGTCATTGTGTGGGGGCACCTGCCGAAGAAAACAAGTGCAGAATAAACATCGACATGAAAGTGATGATGAGGAAAAGAGACAGTGACCATTCGAAATAGTACGACAAGAGATCCCAGACTCACCTCATTTGGAACGGGAGCCGCTGAACCCAACGCATTCGCCTCAGCAGCTCCCATGCTCATGGAGAGACTCCAACGCGGTGGACCCTGAATCGGTTCTCGTGGAAACCCGTTATTATTACCAGCAAGACTTGTCGGCGTATCATTGTTTGGCAGTCGACGTTGTCGGATTCCCGTCCCAAATCCCACAGCTCCGTTTGTTCCGAGGGGGGTCAAGGGACTACGGTCGCTACTACCATATCCAGGCATGGGACTGTTGTTGCCCTTGCCCATGGTGGAAATAAGCGACAAGGACTGCTCTCGCCTGTCACTGCTGGGCGGTCTCGATCCAGCATCCCCTGCAAAGGGATTAGAGGGTCTTGGAGGCGGGAACATGGTGGTCATGTAGGTACTAAAGCTGCTCTACGAGAGGCCAAGCGTTTCTTTGGATCGACAAACAAAAAACAAACAACAACTTGAGCGACAAACGTCGGGGTGTTGTGAAAGCTCGAATGCAATGGCTGCTACTTTTTGAATTTGTGCAGTAGTGTTGGCGTTAAAACGTGGTCAGGAATCCAAAATCGATTCGAATCGATTCGAACCAGATTCTTTCGATTGATGAATCGAATCATTCGATATGACACAATCATTTTCTCACTTTGACGCTTTCCCATCAACCGAAAATGACACAATGACGTGAGAGACCCTCAGAACCGCGACGCGGATTTATTACTGTATTTGGAAAGTTGTCTCCGGTAGCCCTTTCTTCTCCACCAGCAAAGCCAGCGACAGAGCGGCAGCAAACAGCTTTTGAACGATCCAACGGCATGCATTGGTTAAGGCTCTTATCATCCTTGGCACTGTTACCGACAGTCGCCGGAACCGGTACAAGAAACGCCAACAACACTCCAAAGGAGAATGATGCTGATGCTTGTGTTTCGCTCCTGTTCTACAACAGTGCAGACTGTCAAGGCGAACCAGTCCGATCCATGACCTTTCCAACATGGTCCGCAAAACCGGGAGGCCCTTGCTGTAAGTACAGGGCAACGCGAGAATGAATCGAATCAAATCGAAGTTCGGAACTAACATCAATTTTGCTTGGCTTGGCTCAAAGATCACGACAAAACGATGCCTAACTACTCTGTGAAAAACCAACGGTGTGATCTTGCTCGAGGTGCATTTCACCAGAGCGTCTTCTCCTGCAGCACTAGTTGCGAGACCAAATGGTACAACCAATGGTTTTCGCCCGACGAACAGAAGTTTACAGCTGAAAGTTGCTTTCATGGCATCAGGCTTGACTACTGCGTGCAAGGACAATGTCCTTCCAGTGCACATCAGGCAGATGAAAGTGCTGTTGTGCCCGTAGTGGTACCTGTGTTGGAATCATCCACTCGCTAGCTAGCATTGGAGTGCACGATACAAAGCTAAGGTAGACACACATTGAAGTCTTCTGATATATCACCGTGGCTGATAGAGTGGACCGCCGCATTGGGGCGTCAGAAGCTGTCAACGTCACTATTCCGAAGTATCGTAGACACCGCACAGAGCTTCCAAATCGACAGCGCTGATCTGGCAGACTTCGAACTCACAAGGACGATAGCTGGTAATGCTTTGAGCAGACGATTCGGTGCGCTTCAGGAGAAATCGATGTAAGACCCCTCTGGCTCTGAAGAACTTTCCAAGCAGCGTGAGTTTTGAACACAATCCTTCTTCTACCGAACTGAGGGAGACGGTTTCGTGGTCCGAGTTTGGGAGCACAACGTCCTGCAACAGGTGATAAGGGAAGGTAAACTCTTGCTGGCTACCCGAGGCACTGTCGACGAGGACACTAAGGTGATGAGACGGTTGCACCTTGAAGCCCGCAATGTAGCCCACCAAGGGGACGAAAGTCGCTTTCGGTCTTTGCAACGTGAACAGTCCACAGTCCAAGAAAGCGGCGCGACGGGACAGTAGGGATCGACCAGCAGTTGACACGGCCCACGCACGAAGGTTGGCAGACGTTGGTTCACTGATCTTCGTTCGAATACTTGACATCACTCGAAACTCCAAGACAGCGCAGTTCTCCACTGCGTCAAAAGGCAAGACGGTCAAATCTCGAAAAGCCAAAACTCGAGGTTGTTCCACACACTGTCTTGCAAAAGGAGAGCGGAGCCCAATCGAGTCTCCAATCCCCTTCAAACCCCCGCACTGAACCCGCACAACCAATGATGACTTGTCTGTCAGGTAGATTGACATCTTTTCGTCACTGTCGCTCTCGACAACTTTGAGGATAACTCCAACAATGTCGTGTTCATTGGGAGCCTCGCCCCCCTCATCACGCCTGGCTTTGCCTTGCAAAAGGCGACGGGAGTAAACATGGATTTGAAATATCGAGACGGGTTTGCGTTCGGAATAGCACAGAGACATAAGTTCTGGCGAGAATGAAGTCCTTGAAGAACATGCGGTGATGGTGGTTCTCCCGTTGGCGGACAACTGGATGCGCCCTTCGTACTTCTGTCTCGCAGCTAGGTTCTCCACTTGGATAAGACCTCCCTCGCGAAACAGGCCCAACTGTTCTTCGGTTGGTGACCAGACAGTAAGAATCCCTTGTTCGTTGCAGATTCTTTCTCCGGCTCGATCAAGCAGGCTGCGGTCGTGGCTTGCAACAAGCACCCGAAGAAAGGGCGTGGAATGGCGAATTAGAGATTCGTCCTCTTCTATCTTTGCTTGCACCTCTTGTTGGATGCGTCTTTGCAAAACCGCACTGCGTTTAGCCCTCCATCTTTCAATAATCGACTTTCCTTCGTTGTTCAGCCCATGATAGAAGTCTTCCGGGGATGGACTGGTCGTCAAGCGAGTCCACAGTGGGGGAGCCAGCTCGTCAACATCCTGTGCAAATGTAAACAAAGCATTCAAGACAAGTTTTGTGGGACGGACGTGCTGATGAAGCAATTGGGTATGCACTTGGAAAATTGCCCATCAACTCTGCTGCATACCTTGGTGCACTCCTGCTCAACTTCTTCCGTGAACTTCTCTATCAAATTCAGCTTTCGACGTTCAAAATCCACCCTTTGCTTGTGCTCTTCTGCCTCTGTGATCATTTCTTCTTCTCCCGAATCTCCACGATGCAGATACATCATGGGGTATTTCCTGCAAACGAGGAGACTTATCATTGGAATAAACCCACCGCCCGGAACGACATCGGACACCTTTTTGACTCGAAGCAACCCCTTGTCATCCCGCAATTGCTGACATGGAGGAACGAAACCCAATTTTGCGTCCCACTTTGCGAGCCGCGATGCATTCGCTGAAATCCGCAAGAATACTTTGCATTGCTTTAGGTAAGGAGTGTTGCTGTCGTCAAGAGGATCGATCCCGTCGTCAGCTCCCACTAGACACGCCCCTGAGACCATCATCTTTGTCCCGACCTTGATTCGCCCGCTTTCAAGGTACTCACAAATCTTGCCGTCAGGAGCAGCATGTACAGAGTACCAACCATCCGTCAGTTCCATCGAATACGTGGTACCAGCGGCGGGTGAACTGTCACTGCCTTTTCTCTGATTTGGTCCTTCCTTGTTCTTGTCAATGGCGTTTTGACGAAACACTTGACAGACACAAAGGATCATCATGCGGGCTGCTGACGTGTCTTTGTTGAGAATCTTTCGTAGCACTGGGCGCTTGCCTTCATTGTACTCTTTGCAATAGCGATGATAGAGCTTTGCAATGAGATTTTCATAAGAAAGAAGAGTACCGCCATGAATCCACGAGAAACGTCGCTCGAGGGACGCCAGCTTCCAGACAATCCAGCGCTTGTGGTTCAACAACCACTTCGTATTGACGAAGTCCTTTTTGCAACCTCTCTCTACCAATGAGACATGCAGGTCAGACGGGAAACCAATGAGGCCTTGCAACTGATTCACGTGGTCACGGAAAGAGTGAGGAAAGGAACCATTGGGACTGGCGTGAAAAACAAGTTCAGCAGCGTTGGTGCTGTCCACTTCTAGCGTCACTTCTGCAACACCGTCTGACCTGCATTGTTTTCGATCCGTTGTCATCAAGTTGCTCGTTGCCTCGTGGCTTGAGGTAGTCACTTTGGATGCCTTAGGAGGTCCAACATCCGCAGGCACAAGGGAATCTTGAATCCCTGCTGTCTCCAACGGAATGCGATGATTGGAACTATCAATCTCGCCTTGACAATCAAAGTGAATTGGGACCGGCGAAACTGCTTCGGTCGGCAAAGCTAGTTGTGGAGATTCGTTCAAGGGATATGCGCACTTGCGGAAACCGACAGACATTGTAACAACTGACTTTGCACTTCGCGAGTAACAAGGCGTTTTCGACACCACTTCAGAATAAAGATTCTCAGGATGTTGATTACGAAAGTCTTGTGCGACCTGATTTTGAGGTTCGTTCAAGCCATCGCGTCTTGGTGTTTTGGACACGCGATTATGGTCTCCATCGCCACCAATCGACGAAGCGGCGGCCCTACTTTCGAACGGCTGTTCCGTGTACTCCATAGTCGAATCGTCAAGACGAAGCATCTTCCCTTCTCGACAATAGTCCGAAAGCGGAGATGTAGCACTTCGTTTGTGACTGTCTCCGTCAAATTGCAAAGAACTATTCGGCGTTGCACAAACTGGTTGCTCCTGCAAAGAAGGTCCATGCAAAGCTTTCTCGTCAACCGCCATGCTCTCTGCGTTGCCAGAAGCATGAAACGCAGAGACATGCGAAGAGGCCGACTTTTGGGAGACTCCACTGCTCAAGATGGCGCCAGCTTTCACCAGAGCTTCCTGTGAAACTTTGATACTCTTGGCTTTGCCCACTGTACGAAATCCAATGCCAAAGGAGGGCTGTTGCGGGGCAGGGATGGACTTTTGACAAGCGGAACTGCCCAAGAGCGACTCAGCTTTCCCCAGTGCTTCTTCTGAAGCTGTGATGCGTGTTGCTTTGCCAGCAGTCTGAAAACCACCCATAGCGGATTGCTGTGGGGCATTGTTGGATCTGTGGGAGCCTGAACCACCCAAGATGGAGCCAGCAGTCTTGACAGCATCTTCTGACACACTGATGCTTGTTGCTTTGCCAGCAGTCTGAAAACCACCCATGGTGGGTTGTTGAGGGGCATTGTTGGATCTGTGGGAGCCTGAACACCCAAGATGGAGCCAGCAGCCTTGAGAGCATCTTCTGACACACTGATGCTTGTTGCTTTGCCAGCAGTCTGAAAACCACCCATAGCGGATTGTTGTGGGGCATTGTTGGATCTGTGGGAGCCTGAACCACCCAAGATGGAGCCAGCAGCCTTAGAGCATCTTCTGACACACTGATGCTTGTTGCTTTGCCAGCAGTCTGAAAACCACCCATGTGGGTTGTTGGGGGCATTGTTGGATCTGTGGGAGCCTGAACACCCAAGATGGAGCCAGCAGCTTGAGAGCATCTTCTGACACACTGATGCTTGTTGCTTGCCAGCAGTCTGAAAACCACCCATAGCGGTTGTTGAGGGGCATTGTTGGATCTGTGGGAGCCTGAACCACCCAAGATGGAGCAGCAGCCTTGAGAGCATCTTCTGACACACTGATGCTTGTTGCTTTGCCAGCAGTCTGAAAACCACCCATAGCGGATTGCTGTGGGGCATGTGGATCTGTGGGAGCCTGAACACCCAAGATGGAGCAGCAGCCTTGAGAGCATCTTCTGACACAATGATGCTTGTTGCTTTGCCAGCAGTCTTAAACCACCCATGGTGGGTTGTTGAGGGGCATTGTTGGATCTGTGGGAGCCTGAACCACCCAAGATGGAGCCAGCAGTCTTGAAGCATCTTCTGACACACTGATGCTTGTTGCTTTGCCACAGTCTGAAAACCACCCATAGCAGGTTGTTGAGGGGCATTGTTGGATCTGTGGGAGCCTGAACCACCCAAGATGGAGCCAGCAGCCTTGAGAGCATCTTCTGACACACTGATGCTTGTTGCTTTGCAGCAGTCTGAAAACCACCCATAGCGGATTGCTGTGGGGCATGGCTGGATCTGTGGAGCCTGAACACCCAAGATGGAGCCAGCAGCCTTGAGAGCATCTTCTGACACACTGATGCTTGTTGCTTTGCCAGCAGTCTGAAAACCACCCATGGTGGGTTGTTGAGGGGCATGGTTGGATCTGTGGAGCCTGAACCACCCAAGATGGAGCCAGCAGTCTTGAGAGCATCTTCTGACACACTGATGCTTGTTGCTTTGCCAGCAGTCTGAAAACCACCCATAGCAGGTTGTTGAGGGGCATTGTTGGATCTGTGGGAGCCTGAACCACCCAAGATGGAGCCAGCAGCCTGAGAGCATCTTCTGACACACTGATGCTTGTTCTTTGCCAGCAGTCTGAAAACCACCCATAGCGGATTGCTGTGGGGCATGGTTGGATCTGTGGGAGCCTGAACCACCCAAGATGGAGCCAGCAGCCTTGAGAGCATCTTCTGACACAATGATGCTTGTTGCTTTGCCAGCAGTCTGAAAACCACCCATGGTGGATTGTTGAGGGGCATGGTTGGATCTGTGGGAGCCTGAACCACCCAAGATGGAGCCAGCAGTCTTGAGAGCATCTTCTGACACACTGATGCTTGTTGCTTTGCCAGCAGTCTGAAAACCACCCATAGCAGGTTGTTGAGGGGCATGGTTGGATCTGTGGGAGCCTGAACCACCCAAGATGGAGCCAGCAGCCTTGAGAGCATCTTCTGACACATTGATGCTTGTTGCTTTGCCAGCAGTCTGAAAACCACCCATAGCGGATTGCTGTGGGGCATGGTCGGATCTGTGGGAGCCTGATCTGCTAAAGATTGACCCAGCTTTTTGCAAAGCTTCCTGTGACACACTGATGCTTGTGGATTTGCCAGCAGTCTTAAAGCCACACATGGTGGGTTGCTGAGGAGTGCAGTTGGGATTGTGGGAGCCTGAACTGCTAAAGATTAACCCATTTTTTTGGAGAGCTTCCTCTGAAACTACAATGCTTGTGGCTTTGCCAGTAGTCTTAAAACCACCCATAGGGAGACTTAATGGAGTAGCAGGAGGCTTGACAGGACCCGAGTTTGTCAAGATGGACCCAGCTTTTTGGAGAGCTTCATCTGAAACTGTGATATTCTTGGCTTTGCCAGCTGTTTGAAATCCACTGCCAAAAGAGGCAGGCGTTTTGGAGATTCCACAGCTCAACACGGACCCAGCTTTTTGAAGGGCTTCTTCCGAAACTGTGATGCTCTTGTGCATACCAGCAGTGCGAAATGCACCCATAAAGGGACCTGTTGGTGCTGCAGGAGCAGATCTTGACTTGTGGGTGTCTGAACCAGAGTTTTCCAGAGCTTCTTCTGAGACTGTGATGTTGTTGACATTGCCAACAGTCTTAGTTAAAAAGCCGCCCTTGCTGGGTTGTTGTGGGGCAGCCCCAGAGGTTTGGTAGCTTGAACTGCTCAAGATTGACCCAGCTCTTTTCAAAGCTTCTTCTGAAACTGTGATGTTGCTGGCCTTGCCTGCAGTCTTAAAGCCTCCAATAGCCGTCTGTCCAGGGGCGAAGTCTGAATTTTGGGAGCCTGAACCACTTAAGACGGACCCAGCCTTCTTGAGTGCATCTCCTGAGACTGTGATGTTCTTGCCAATGCCAGCAGTGTGAAATCCAGGGAAAGTGGATAGAGTGTCAAGTGCTTTGTGTCCTTGATGCATTTTGCTTTCTGTTTGCTCTTTCACCACTGGATACTGGGTAGTTTGGGACACTTGATCATGATTAGCAACTGGGATCGCTTCCGGAAAGTCTAGTTTCCGCCGGTTGTCTGGATCATCTTCAGTCTCCACAAAGGCTCCCTTGAACTGAGATGACTGTGATTGTTGTGGAGCTGGGCGCACATTCTCGCTTCTTCCATTGCTGTTGGGTAGAGCTAATTGTTCGTTGTCCTTGTTGATTGCGCCTGTATCGACAGGGCAAGGAACTGGTTCCTGCCGGGGCATTGCGCTTTGCGGTCCTTTGGAAACTGATACTGGTTCTTCTTGAGATGTTTGCGATGGTGGAGTATATACGAAGGCATTGTGATCTTCCATTTCCCCATCGTCATGTTCCGCGGGCTCATCTTCCATTCGACTGTTCTTCGGTGAATGTGGTTTTTGTATCAGAGGGGCTGTGGCATGAATTTCTTGTACCGGTACCGGTACGGGTGAAAGCTCGTGGCCTTCAACGGCAATCCATCGTTCCTCACATTCCGTAGATGCCGAGGATGCTTGCCGTCCCGTGGAGACTTCTGCTGAGGCCGACTCTGAATCAATCGTTTGCGACAATTGTTGTCCTTCGATGGATTCAGAGCAAGAGCTACTGCAATCTTGGGCGTTTGTACGATCTGCGTACCCTTCTTGTTGAGTTTGTAGATGTTCCTGTTCGGAGAGCTGTGCCAAACAGTGGTGGAAGGCATCCACGTCATCATGATATTCAGCAGTAGTGATGATTGGACTTGCTATTGACGTACAGTGCTCGCGGGAATCTTCAACGGAGGTGTCATTGTCTCCAGACCCTGCAGACTCTGACCCTGGCGACACTCCCTCGCTTCCACACGCCATCAACGCTGTCATTCCCTGTGCTTTGGGTGGCTTTGATCGCGAGTTTTCTGGGGACTCTTGAGGCTGGTTCGCTGGCGACAAGAGTAGGGAACTCGGCGTTTCCCCATCTGTATAGCTAGAGCCTCCGTCAATTAGGGGATCGGTGCCCACCACGGAATCCTTTGTCTCCTGCTGTGAGGATGGAGCGGCCTTGCTCTCGATTGGTAGCGCCAACATATCTTCTTGGCAGCTTGAATTGTCAGCGGATTGAATGCGGCTGGTGTCGCATCTGGTCGTTGTTGTGTCTTCCTGGATTACCATGAGATCGTCGCTTTCACAAGATATCAAACTTTCCACAGGTTGAGTTGGATTGCAGCTTTCTTGCGATTGTGGATTGTTGGTTTGGTGAGAGGTTTCGTGAGTCGACTCTTCGTCCGACTGTTTCGTTGGCAATTGACTCAATGAATCCGCCGTAGCTTCTATTTGATGTTGGATGGATATCCCTTCCATTTCAGGATTGGCTCGTTCTGCATCTCTGCCGTTATCTGTAACAGGTTTGCCTCCTCTAATCTGTTGGCTCTCTTCTTCCCCGTTGGCGCCATCGACCCTGATGGAGTCCAATGCGGAAGTGTGTGTGGTCGTTTCGTGTTCATCACTCACTGTAGAGTGCATATGATTGTCAGATTCTTTGCTGGGACTTTCCTTTCCGGGCTGTGGACAGTGGAGGATATTGCTATCGTCTTTAGAAGACAAGGCTTTTGCTGGTTCTTCTGATGGCAACGCATTGTTTTCTTTTTCAAAAGGGATACAGTCTGGATCCACCAATTTTGTCTGGATGTTATTGTCGTGTTGCTGTTGCTGCTCTGTCTGACACGTTCTTTCTGACAATGGAGATTTGAGAAAAGAGAGAGGCACTATAGCCTGCAGAGCCTGCTGCCAATTGTCGTGGTTCTCTTCTTCGCTCAACAGGCCATCATTGTCGCAAAGGACTAGTCTAACAGTAACTAATCGATCGGACATGGCATCCACTCGGCCCCGCTTTCGCCCTTGTTGCATCTTGGTATTGCGTGGTGATTTTGAGCCTGCGGTCTCTTGCCGTCGGGTGCTTTTCGTTCGCTCGTCCCTTTTCTTGTCTTTGGACGCTGGCGACGTCATTGCTGTGCAGGCAACAGAGGGCTCTTCTTCTCCGTCGTCGGGTCGCCTTGAGTCACAAGCTTGACACTGTCTCCGTCGCGCAGGATTCTCCAGAGTACACACTGAGCACGTCCATTTTTTGGACCTCATGGTGTTGATGGATGGAATCGAATCAATCAAATGAGAATTTTAGCATTGGCGGCAAAAAACAAAAAGATGCAGCACTGTACCGGTAGGCAGGCAGTTCGAATGGGCGAGATCTGCAACCAATCCACACCCTCAATTCTATTCTATTGTGAAGGGAGGAGAGGAAGAGACAAGGTGGGAAATGATACCGGTATAGCTAGATACAGCGGCAAACTCACGAGGGCGGAGAGGCTGATGTGACCACTCTTGCCTCTCTTCCCTTGCAAGAAGTCAAAAGCATGAATAATCCGCGTCTCAAGGCTTTAAAAATTGGGTTTGTTAAATCTTTGATTTGCGTTCAAAACGCATCCTCGAAGCATCATCAAGTGCTGCATCAGCGCTGTGGTACAGTCGTACTCTATTGGGAGCGGACAACACAAGGACCTTTAGACTCGACCTGACGCGCCCATGCAGTTCGTTCAAATTGGACAATAATATATATTACATGTATGAAACTCTACCATGGGCTGGGGAATCTGGATTTGCAACTCTGTGCGGTATTAGTTAGCGCCATCACGGACAGAGTAGTTTCATCAGTACTGGTACCCACGCCACAGCCTGCCAACAGAGCATTCAAGTTATTCTCGGACCCAACGACTAACAATAACAAACACAGCTTGGTCTGTAGGCTATTGATCGTGATCATGATACGAGCAAATCTAGGTAGGGCATTATGAGGCAAGTCGAGTTAGAATATCTGTGGTCAGATTGGGACACCAGGTCCCTGCGGTAGTTTGTTGACAGGGGCAAGCTGTGGAGGAAAATCACCTCTTTACTCTTGCCGTTTCTTGTGAGTCTCCCAGGCCATCATCCCATTGCCGCCTTTGTCGTTGCTGTCGTCCATAGATCCCATTGTTGCAATGCTTCCGCCCATCAACTTCTCGCTGCTCTTCGTCACCAACGAGCCGTTGTCATCGTCGTGGTCACGCGACCCACCTGGACTCCTGCTTCTTAGGCTTCGTTCCCAGGAGGGTACTTGCGTAAGAGCACGGTGTTGCGGGGACTGCAGGGCATGCATTGTATGATCTCGGAGCGCTGGCACGCCCTCTCCGTCAAAGACGCGACAAAGAGAGGCGCCGCCAACAGAACTCGCACACGAGAAAGGATCGGTCCCCGAAGACACATCCATGTCCATACTTGAAGCCGCTGATGCTAGATCCCCTTGAGAATTGATACCAGTGCTGAAGAAAGATGCACCCGCCAATGACAGCGAGTCGTTCAGGAAAGAATGGCAGCTACCCACACGAGCTGGCCAATCCACTTGCAGACGTTCCTTCTCGTGAGCGGGCATTCGCTCTTCCAAAACACTATTGTCACCTCCCAGCTCCATGTGCGTTTCCATCATGTCGACAAGTTGCACCTCCTGGCCCTCAATTTCGACAGCCATAGTCTCCGAGTACTTGTCGACCTCTTTTGGGACATCCCTCCTCCTCCTGTTATGTCGAGATGACGACTCTGGACCACAAGCAATGCTACCGGCATCCCAGGAGCCCATACCCATGACAATCTGATTCGCCACTGCTGCCAACATCGAGTTGCTGGCATCATCAGCACCAGATGCCCTGGATCGTCGACTAATAGGCAGGGGATCTGGCTCGCACTCCTTGTACTCTTCGTTGGGATATTTCTGGTGCATGGCTGGGTGATGATATTCATCGATCATTAGCGGTCCTTCCTCAACAATAGAATTCATGCCTTCCGTAGTGATGAGTGAAATCATGCCATCGTTGTGACCATCCAGATTCACACTGCTAACCGGAGCCATTGGGTTGTGAATGCCGGGTGGAGGTCTGCCATTTGGCCCCGACGCACCAAGAGAGCCCCGTCGTTTGAGCCTTCGCGGATAACTGATTTGACTGCTGTGCATGATGCGCGGCGGTTTGCCTGGTTTTCGATTGTCCAGGGATCGCCCCGAGATGGACCGTTCGTCCTTGAAATGTACAGAACGTGCCCTGGATACAACACTTTGTGAATCTTCAGGTTGATGTACATACTTGATTGGTTTACTGGCGAGTGAGGCTGTTTCTTGAGGATCGTCGTCACGGTTGGATGCTACTGACATGCCACCTCCAATGCTAAAGGCATCTTTTGTCCATGAAGCCATGGAGCTCATGAATTGCGCAGTTGCGTCAAACACGGACTTGTCGTCGTCTTGCTGCCGATGAGGGGATTGTTGCGGTGCGTGACGACGCTCTTGTTGGTGTTGTACCTGGGGTTGTTGGGGTCGGCTCTCGGGCTCACGCTGTGGATGTGCATGTTGGTTCTTGGGAGCAAATGAAAAGTCAAATTGCTGTTGTTGTTGTTGCTGCTGGGGCGGTGGTGGTTGTTGTTGTTGCGGAGGAAGAGGAGGAGGCTGTTGTGGTTGGGCTGCAGGAGGTGGAGGAGATGGTGCCGGAGCAGGTTGTATTTGCGTTTGCTGTGGATGTTGCTGTGGCGGGTGCTGCTGTGGCGGATGCTGCTGATGTGGAGGTGGGACGGGCGCCGGAGCAGCAGGAGGATTCCATTGAGCGGGGTTGTATCCCGGGTGATAATGAGGAGGTGGCGGCGGCATAGGGCCACCCGGGTGAGGTGGACCCCCAGGGTGAGGAGGGCCTCCTGGGTGAGGAGGGCCTCCTGGAGGCGATTGCTGGGCATATCCATAATATGAAAAGTAGCCCCATCCCTGGGGATAGTAAGGATTGGCGGCGGCATTGGGAGGTGGTCGATGTGTTTCATGCTGGGCCCTCTGTATCTCGGCCCGTTGTTCATTGATTTCGGTCTCTATTTCCGCCCGGATGGATGGTGCATTCTCCCGCAGTGCCTGTGAGACCTTATCTCTCGCCTTGTCATCGTCGATCACATCTACAGTAGAAAGAAAAAGGAGATGTAAGCCAACCTGATCAAATAATCATTTTGCGATCAGCCAAAGTGCATGCAGGTACTTACACCAGGTTCCTTTTTTGGTGTTTCTAGACAAAAACCTCCCTGGCGGTTCCAGAGACTGGATTTCTTGGACAATGCTGGAGGCAATTAGTCTCTTTTCTCGTTTGAAACGAGCTGTGAGGTACACACGCTTCCTCTTTTCTACGAGAGTTCGAAATCGTTCATTTCCTGGGGAAAGAAGAGCACAAGCATAGTGCGTCAGAACAAAGCAGACACCACAACTCCCTACAACAGACGCTACAAGAAGAAGAACATACCTTTCCAAGAGTTAATAGAACCACCTACACCACGACGAAGCAGCAAAGAGAGGATAATGTCAGGAAATGCAGATCGATATTTAAAGAACAATGACAGATTTCGATACATACCTCTACCACAGAGTACCTATGACAAGGAAGAGCGACAAGTAGCGAGGAACAAAGCAAAAGGTCAGATAATGCTACCAATTCGTTGTGATCCAACTGGGTAGCAATCACGCCAATAGCACCTACATCATGTTCATGTGGTTCCTTGATCTGCACAGCGTTATCTCCACCAGAGGCAGCACCACTTTGACTCGAGGGAGCAGCATTGGGCTTCATGATAAAATGATTGGTAGTTCCAGAAAACCAAACTTAACAGGTGCGCCAACAGCACCCCTCACTACCTCACACTAATATCGTTGATCGCCACACACAACGCAACCCTCTACCAATGATGATGACGATAACAGACTGGTAGTACCTTTTCTTTGTCAATGCTCTTCTCACTCAATGCTGCTGCTGCTGCTCACGTCTACAGTACTGCTGTTCGTTGTTGCGGCTCTTACTATTTCCCGCTGTCACTTCGTTACGGCGGTTGAAAACTCCCTCCACCCTTCTTGCTTTCCGGCACTCAGTAGCGATCCCTTTATCTTTGTCGAGGGTCGCCTCTTCTTCGGCGATGCTTTGGATGCACTCCCCACGAAAATTTGCTTTTTGTGAAGGGCATGCTTTCTACGTAGCTCCTGTCGTAGTATCTTACTCAAGCTCCTTTTCCGTTGGATGGTGCTCTGGAACGGGCAACCCAATGGCAACTCTGCCATAATCAATGCTGACGTAAGTGATTAACGCTTAATTCTGTGGCCCTGCAGAGCTGTCTATTACTGTCAACAGTTATTTCAGGTCATGCGTATCTCTGACCTGACTGGATACCCATGCATGCAAGGATCCCGGATCCCAACACACCCAACACACCCACACACAACACATACAATACACACACACTCGATACCCGATTGGAGACAACAACATTCAATACCAAACCATCTTCACGATGAGTCACCCCTACGCTGCTCGTATCGACTTGACTTTTCCAGACAATGAATTAGCCGAAAAAGCTATTCAGGTTCTACAAGTAGACAAAGAACCAGGAGATCGAGTCGTCAAGGCATTCTCCATTGTTCAGGAAGAGTCCGTGGCTGTTCTCCGTGTGTACGTAACTTGGGCCATACGAGTACCGGTACAATAAAAGAGAGAGGTTGCTGATGTACGCACTGCATGCTGGAACACTCACTGACCATTATCTCTATATTTTTGCACTGCTTCTGTGTTGTATGTAGTGAACTCAAGGCCACCGAAGCTAAAATGCTACGCGTTGCAGTGTCTTCTTTTTATGATTTTGTGCAGGTTGTGTTGAAAACCATGCAAGAATTTGATCCAGCCTCCTGATACTCTCTACTGGCTAGTAGGCAAGGCTATTCAGCAACTGCCAGTTCTATTCCACCGCTCGATTCTGACATGGATGACAATTGGCAGCTCCCCTTTCTACACACGGTCTGAACCCTCGCATTGCAAAAATTTTGTGGTCCAAACAAGCAAGAAGCTTCTGCCTGGCCTAGCTAGCTGGTAAGCAGAGGCTGAGATTCTGGCACTTTCCGAAATTGAATCGGTGGGATAATGGCCGCCATGAGAACCAAAGAGCTTCATCCTGGTTGTTTCCTTGGTAGGCGGACTTAGCGGTGTTTACTCCAGAATAGTACAGACGGCAGCTACTAGTAAGCTGTGGTGGCGGTTTGATCTGTCATTTCTTTCCACACAGATATGTTTTTTTTACACAGTGACATAGCAACAGCATCTGCACACAATTAGTCCAAAGATGCAAATTTCTTGGCTTCAGCCAATTTAGTTCGCTCAAACCGTCAGGCCTCAAGGGGCCCATAGGCAACCATTTGCAATAGCCCACTCCAGCATCATTGTGTGTCCTCCGTGATGAGCCCAATAGCAAGTTCTGCTGTCCCAAGAGCACCCATTTTCATGAGCCCACTTCAAAGCTTCAAAATGCCCACCCATAGCTGCATGAGCGCATGTATTGGCATCCCATGGACAGCCCTTGTCTCTGGCCCATTTCAACAACTCCAAATGACCACTTTCAGCAGCTCTAGTGCATGTCCAAGCATCCCATGGGCATCCCATCTGTCTTGCCCACTTTAGCACTGATAAATGTCCACCACGAGCTGCCTGCGCACATGTGTTTCCATCCCAAGGGCAATTGTTGTTCCTGACCCATTTCAACACTTCTAAATGACCTGCACTGGCAGCTGCAGAGCATGTCAGTGCACTCCAGGGACATCCATTGGATCTAGCCCAGTGCAACATTTCCAAATTGCCTGCAATGGCAGCACAAGAACAGGTGTCCTCATCCCAAGGATACCCCTTTTGATGGGCCCATTGCAGGACTGAAAGACTCCCGTACTTGGCAATTGTTTCGCAAAGCAAAATGTAACTTGGGTTTTTTAGGTATGATTGGTCGTCTTCCCAATATTCAGCGCATGGTATGCTGAAGAATGCGGCAGAATACAAGGTGTCTTTGAACGTTGCTAGCCGCCTTGGTAGACAGCAACCATCCCTGACTAGAGGAGGATCCTTGAAGGCGGAGCAGTACTTCTGATAGAGCTGATACCATTTCTTACTGACAGCTGCAACAAAGGCATACTGTCCAATGCCCAGGAAAGGGAAAATGCTTCCAACCCAAATGTCCTTCCGATCCAGGAAGGAGAGAGAGGCAGGGGCCAATTTCTGTTGCTTAGACCTTGGCTGAGATGACATATCTTTGAAAGCAATACATGAAAATGAGGTCTGGCTAGCTATGGATCTGCATAATCACCTCGCCCACTCATGGCGAGACCGGGGGTTGTGTTGGGAAGATTGATTGCGCCCTCGGTCGTGATTTTGCCCTTCAGACTTGTCTTCAATTTCAGTCCCGATCGCGGACTGCGCCAAAATGCATGGTCGGTTGGTCGGATCTTCCAAGAAGCCGACGAGAGGGCGAGAACACAACAAGATACATGTACTGCATGGGATTGGTTGGAAAGACAAGCCACAGGAGTAGAAGTCAAGCAAGAAGTCGACTTGCAGATCCTTGATATCACTGAGCGAAATCAAAATGGTAGAGATTGAAGCAGTAGAGGATCAGCAAGATGGCGGCCAGGAAGAACCTAAGCGGAAAGAAGAAACTGGTGGAGAGAAAGAAGCTTCTTCGGATACGCCTGAAGGAGAATGGTCCGATTTGATGGGAGATAACATTCAAATGAAGGTAAGCCCAACCAGTTGAGAAGCTGGAGTCCCTACGAATTACTTGTTAAAACTCGTTTCTCTTCTTGGTTAGATTATTAGTGAAAGTAAAGATGCCAAAGAAGTCCAACCACAAGATGCCGTGGTGATTGATTTTATCGGTCGCCTTGCCCCCAATCGAGAAGATGCCGAGGGCCCCATCTTCCAGGAAGGCAAGGATTGGTTGATTGTGATTGGCGACAAGTATGTGATTCCAGCCTTGGAGATGGGCGTTCGATTCATGAAAGATCAGCAAAAGGCGGTTATCTGGAGTCATTCGAAATTTGCATTTGGGGTAACCACACGAAAACATGACGAAGGCTTTGAATTGCCAATCAACTCCAATGTGCGCTATGAAGTCCATGTCAAGAAAATATTTTGTCCCGATGATGGCAGTGATGATCCAGATGGATTTCAATTGAAGTTGGCCTTTTCCAAAAAGCTTATTGCCAATGACATGTTCAAAAATGAACTGTACAAACCCAACGCTTATTCGGCCAGCAGTGAGCAACGCGCCATTCGATTGTATACCAAAGCCGCCGATGAAATGGTACACATGCTGCAGACACATGAAGCAGAGAAAGAAAAGGAAGGCGAAAACTACAAAGAGCCCGAGGGACGAAAAGAAAAAGCCACCAAAGCAATGGAGATTATGATGGATAGCTTGAACAACGTCGTGGCCGTCTACATGAAGGCCAAAAAGTACCACGAGGCGAAAGAAGCTGCTGTCAAGGTATTGACTCACGATCCTCAAAACTACAAAGCGCTTCTTCGAGCCGCCAAAGCGACCATGATGGATCCAGCGTCTAGCTACGAAGAGTCCGATGTGGCCATTGCCGCCGCCGAAAAGGTCGTGACGGAAAAGGACGACTTGGATGACAAGGAAGTCCGCAAACTGCGGCAAGAGTTGAAGCAAAAGAAGCAGGAATACAAGAAACGACAGAAAGAAATGATGGCTCGCATGACGAAAGAGCTGAAGCCCAAAGAAGGCAAGCAGCAGCAGGAATCCGATACGCAACAATCTGCAGAAGGAGGGGGTGCCAAGGGGAATGAACAGGGAGAAGCTGCAACGGACAACAATAAGACAGAAGAAGGAGAAGAAGCAATGATCGAGGAGGAAGAGGAGAAATCTCCTATGTGGCGTCGTGTACTCCCGTATGCCATTCAGATTGTGTTTCCGTTCGTCTTGTATTACCTGGTGACCAGCACTGCGAAGCAACAGCATACCGAATTGGAGGAGAGCCAGAGTAACACTGATCCTTACGATGAGTTCTAGCTTGTACGACATAATAACATTCATTCATTCCTTCAGGACTCCAATCTCCTGTCACGTGCCGGTTACTCGAGATATTTGGTAGATAGATTGCCATTCTCAATGCTACTGCCATTAGATAAGGTTACTCTACTGCGTTGCTGTTTAATCCCTGTCTTGGGCAGTCTTCTTGACTCCACGAAGACGTCCTGTTCGACGGGCAGCGATGAGACCGACCTTACGACCGGAGGGACGTTCACGTCCGACAGTGGAAGGCATACCAATGTGCTGATGGTTACCTCCTCCGTGGGGATGCTCTACTGGATTCTTAGCCACACCACGAATCTTGGGCCAGCAATTGCGCTTGACGGCGTACTTGTGGTAGGCTCTTCCGGCCTTGAGGAGTGGCTTGTCGGTACGTCCACCTCCGGCAACGATTCCAATTTGGGCACGGACAGCGGAAGAGACGGTTTTCTTTCCTCCCGATGGCAAGCGCAGACGGGTGGTTCCCTTGTCCTCGTCGTGAGTGACGACAACGGCAAAGGCTCCCGATCCACGAGCAAAGGCACCACGGTCTCCCAATTTGGCCTCGACGTTGCAGACGATGGTACCTTCCGGAACGGCATTCAAGGGAAGGACGTTTCCGACAGTCAATGTGGCCTTCTTTCCACAGTAGATGAACTGTCCAGAGTACATGCCTTCAGTGCAGACCAGCAGTTCGTTATCTTTTTGGTAGCGGTAGGCATTTCGGAACTGGATCTTGGCGACGGGAGCTCCACGACCAGGATCATGGATGATTTCCTTGACGACACCACGAATGTATCCGTGCTTCTCGGCGTAGTCAAAGGCACGAAGCTTCACGGCTCCCTTACGAGTTCGCGTGTGCGACTTGAACACGGGAGACTTACCCTTACGTTGGGCCTGTTTAACAAATTGGTTTTAGGCGTGACGAAGATGATGCGTGAGAGACAAGCAGAAGACAACAATCCAGCGCCAAAGGTATAGTATACCCCATGCTACCCTCCTCCACCATTCTACAACTACAGTCAACTACGCACCTGTACGTATTTACCCATCTTGGAATCAGTTGTTGTTGAGTCTTCTTCTCAATAAATCTACTAGAGACGGACCACCAAGGCGACAACGACTGCCAACAAGAAGAAAGAAGTTGCCAGGAGAGATGGACGATGGCGGAGGCAAGGTGTTCCATCGATGAGGAGTTTAGTACAGAGGTAAATAAACCGGGATTGACGTACCAAGTCAACCCTGTTTCAGACGTCATGACATTCATTCCCACTCGTGACAACCCAGCATTGGTTTTTTGCCGCCAACTGACCGCCTTCCTTCAGCTTTTTAGCACTCATTGCTTCTTCTTTCCTTGACAACAACTCTTAAAAAGTTTGGTAGCTAGCTAGCTAGCTAGTAGTAGTTGGACAAGACAACAGCAAGAGCAGAAGTTAGTCAACAAGATGAATGTCGTTGGTCCCATTAAACCCTCCTCCTCTCTTATTGCGGGTATCCCAGAAGAAGAATCTTCTTCGAAGAATGCCGCATTCAAACAGATCCAGCTGTATGATGAAGCTCCTCAGGTGGAAATGAGTCTCGACCAGTTTGAAGTTTACGCCCTGAAGAGACTCAAGGTTAGTTTTCTGTCATTCTTATCATTATCTATGGATGGCTTGACTGGACGTGGCATGAAAATTCCATTATACCCAAGAACTATTCAACTTATTCTCATACCGTCATGTCTCTACATCTACCTTTGATATGCTCACTTACTTTGATTACCTTTAATCGCTAATTAATAGGTCCTTCGCAAGCTGGAGCGAGTCATGAACTCACGTACGGCCAATTCCATTGACGGCAAGAATGCTCTCAAAAAGACCATTTCCGAAGAGTTGGAGACTCCGGAATTGGACCAAATCTCCCATTTCATTCTCAGAGCCGCCTACAGTCTAGACGAAGAAAAGCGTCGTTGGTTCTTGACTCATGAAACGGCTCTCTTTCGATTCCGTCTCGAACAGGCAGACCAAAAGGTACTCACCAAATCCTGCAAAATGTTCCAACTGACACCCCTCCATCCCAAGGAGGCCCAGGAAAAAATGCAATTGCTCAAAATGCTCTTGCCCCATGACAACAATACACGCAGCAGCAATCAAACATTCTACAAGGTTCCCTTTACCCAGGCGTTGGATCTCGTGGCCAAACGACAATGCATCGTCGAACGAGGATTTGCCTACATTCCCGCCAGCAAGGTCGTCTCCATTTTGGCCGGCAAGTTTCGCATGCTATTGTCGGCCTCCTTGGCGCACTTGGCGCAAAATGGCATTTTGGGGGGCAGCAATAGTAGTGAAGCGGAGCGGTTGCATCCTCTGCTCCAAAACATCAACTCGTGTTTGTTGGAAACCGAACCCATCAGTGAAGAACTCGGCTCTTTCCAGGCATCCATGGTGACACCCGGCAATGTCCCCAAACTGGTCCAGCACATGCCGCTCTGCATGCGCACCATGCAAACGGGCCTCCAAAAGGACAAAAAGTTGCGCTATCACGGACGGTTGCAGTACGGACTCTTCCTCAAGGGAGCCGGGTTGTCCTTGGAAGATGCCTTGGTCTTTTTCCAGCGTTCCTTTAGCAACATGACTGCCGAACAGTGGCAAAAGGAATACTCCTACAGTATTCGTCACACGTACGGCAAGGAGGGACAGAAAAAGAGTAAATCTGCGTACAACTGTTCGGGGATTATAAACAGTCAACCTCCGTCTCATCCTGGCGATCATCATGGGTGTCCCTACAAGGAGTATGATTCCGACAAGCTTTCCAAGTTGCTCCAGTCTCTCAAGATTGGCAGTACTCCCGGAGATCGTCAGGCCATTGTTAATTTGCAAAAGAGCAAGCATTACAACTTGGCCTGTTTGGAACATTTCAAGGTGATGCATCCCAATCAGGAAGCGTTGAAGGACATTTCGGTGGACAATATTGGCAATCATCCCAATGCGTGGTTCCGTGCCAGTTTGGCCTACAAGGAGTATGAAACGGGCGGTGCTGGGGCTGAGAACAATGAAAAAGAGGGTGCGCTTGTGGCTGGATCTCCCAAGGCCGTGGCCGATGTGGCCATGTCGTCGGCGTAAAAGAAGGGAACTTGTGGCGATGGACTATCATCAAGGTTATCTATATAAGACAGCAAATATTATAGCTCAGTGTCGCTTTTGAATATATACCGTATGCATAGCGAGGCGCTGTTTGAAAGGTGCAACGAGCAACCATGGCTCTCTTTGTTTGATGATTGTTTGGTTGAGAAGGAAGCAAACTCAAGCTGCTCAAGACACATTTCTACCTACTTGTCTGATGCTGTTGCTGCAGTTGTATCCCCATTATTGTTTTTCCGCCTCCTTCTCTTTTTGTTGGGATTGTTTGCCTCGCTATCGCCCTTCTTCGTCTTTTTCTTGCAACTGAGTGGATTGGGTTCCTTGGCCTTGCGTTTTTTCCTCTGTTGATGTTGCTTATTATTATTATACGTTGTATGATTCGCAGTAGAATCTTTTTGTCGTTCTTGTTTGACAATTTGTACCAGCTTCCGTTCTTCTTCTCGAATGACGAGCCCGGTCCATTTTTTGGTTTCATCCCGCGAGTCTTGTGCTTGTCCCGCTTTGGATGGATTTTCCAACAAGAGGACACTGCCTCGTGCCAATCGAATACAGGGGACGCGTCCTGATTTTCGGAGCACATCCAAGAGGGTTTCATCTTGACAGGCCACCAAGTAGTGTCTTCCATTGTGTAAATGGTTGTTATTGTTGTGGTTGTTGTGGTTGGTAGATTGTAGTGCCAATTTCAGGATATCCCATCCAGGAGGCCCAATCTGCTCTTCCAAGTCTGGATATACCCTATCCAGCCAATCCTTGGTGGACTTATCCAATGAATTCTGTTTGTCTTCTTGTTCCTCTTGATTTTCCAGCAACACTTGACATTCTCTTCTGGCCCATTGAATGGTTTCTTGAAACAACTCTGCTTGTTCTTTATTGCTAGTATCATTACTGGCCTGTTTGAGTTTTGCCAATTCTTGGAGACAGGAACTGGTGGTATACAGGGTAAAGGCATCATGCTGCAGCATTTTATCCAGTCGCTCTCGAAGGGGGAACTTGTACTTGAGCATTGCCACCAAAAAGGTTCCATCAAGCAGAACGTGATAGGGAGGTCGAAAGCCCTGAGTGCGAGCAAAGAACTGAAGCGTCTTGCGGGCTGCTTTGGAGCGACCGTGTCTCATCTTGTACTATCTTATTGCTGAATTCAGAAAAATGTTGTAGTACTTTGAGTTGTTGCAAAGTGTCCTTGTTTACATGTTCTTGATGGAGAAGAACGGACGAAAATGAAACAACGCACAGAGTGATCGATTTTGAAGGAAAATGAGTGGAGGGAGACACTCGTGACTACCTTCAAGTTCAGTCATTCGTTTCATTTTTACTTTTAGAAAAAGTAAAGTTCGTCTTTCAGCAGCAAACACGACAACACCAACTCGTTGTCTCGATCATCGTCTCCACCACCTTGGGCATCAAACCAAGACCTGCCCACACTGGTATCCTCAAGCAACACAACAATGGCAATCATTCCACATCCTCCCATTGTTTGGGAACAGGTCCGAGTAGTGGACTTGTTCTTTCTGCTGGCACTGGGGTCAGTTACCGAGTTGATCTTTCGCGGCAGTGTCTTGATGCTGAAGTTGAAACCGGCCTCGTTAAAACAAAAGGAAAACTTGTTCCACAAGTGCGGATACGATACCGATCTGCTGCGAAAAAAGGGACCTTCGGCATTTGTCGAGACGAGCAAGAGCGAACGACAATTGTTGGCACTGGACAGAGAACTCCAAAAAATCTATCAACAACGACAAGCCCAACGAGAATCCGCCGACAAGCTATTCAAAAACTTGCGCAATGTACTCGGGGCAATCGTCTTTATCCTCTATTTGGGAGTCCCCATCGTATCCTTTTCCTCCGTGGACTCCACGTCGTTGATCGAAAAGGAATCCATCTTGGCGCCGCTCTTGTTTCCCATTTCCGTCATGGGCATGGGATTTCGAATCAGCAAATGGGGACTCGCTCTTGGGAATGACGCTAACGCGGTAGAAGTACTGGGAGAGTCACTGTCGGCACTGATCCCGTTCTGGGCAGCCTCCAGTTTTGTCGCTCAAGTCATGGATGGAGTCGAGTACTTGATGCTGGTGGGCTAAAAAGTACACTCCACCCAGGTATAAACACAACGGACTGATCCCAGCAATCTGCTTGCCGTAGATCTGCTCTGCGGAGGACAAATAAAGTTGAAGGCAATAGCTGCTGAAGTTGTTGCCATACCATTCGGTTGGACCAGGCCATGCAACAGCAGTCCACTTTCCCCAAGAATGATTCGATTCAATCTACAAACATACCAAATAATATGAAAGACCAGTTACTGTTCTTTGCTTTATTTATTTGTACATGTATTGTGTATGCTGGCCTATGTTCTAGTTGCTGTGTTCTCGCATTGCATTCTGCTTGCTTTCCTTTCTTTGATTATGTACATGATTCCGTGTCACCCTTCCTTCTATAGCTACCGGTGGCGGTAGCAAGCAAGGGCATCTAGCTAGAGCATCTAGAGCACACGGTTCACAGAGGACAGTCGGCCCAACACACGACGAATTCCACGTTGCACAAGCTCCGCCACAATCGAGTCCAGTTGAGCCCGTTCCTCCTCATTTAGCTCCGACAGAGCTGCGTCCAACTCGGCGGAAAACTCGGTCGTTTGCGAGCTCGATCCTCGTACTTGCGAAACAATCGAACTGGCCGCGTCTACCACTTGTTGCGCCGTATCGGAACTCAAAATGTCGCTTCGGCCAAAAGCTCCCGATCGCAACGCTGTCAGCACAAGCTCGGCAGTCTTGGCGCTCAACACGCCTTCGCCCTTGACAAAGGCGGCCACATCCTCTCCAAAGAATTCACGGGCACCGTCGCTCAAACTAATCGCGTAGACTTCCTCATCTTGATCCAGTTTCGGAGCCACGGCATTCGTCAAGTCCGACCAGGTCATGACCGCCACCGAGGGCCGTCCGAGACCATCGTCGCCACTACCACTGGGCAGCAAAAACGGAAGTGGGATATCATCCAGTTTGGGGGTGGGTGGTAAAATGTCACCCAAAAAGGGAAGTGCCGGTGGTCGTGGAGGAGTAAACGCAATCAAGGCTTCGTTGGCTGCCTTGCGAAACAATTGTCGAGACAGAACGTCCAAGATGGTATCCACTTCGGGTTCCAAAAGACGGCGCAAACTCTCGGCCCGGTCGGACAGAATAAACTTGAGTCCCTTGGCAAACGAAAGACCATCTTCGGGGACAGCATCCAGGTCCACAAAGGCGGCACCTTCCTTGGCCACGGTCGATCCGGCAGCGTTGTTCAGAAGCGATAGCAATCGGGAGAGCTTGAGGCCCTGAGTGTCGTCCAAATCGTTATCTCCAGTGTACAAGACTTCTTGCAATGCTCGTTGAATCTCGGGACGATCTTCCGACAGCAACTTTCGGCTGATGAAGGGAAAAGACTCCATGATGATTCCATAGTTGGGGTTTCCAGTCAGTGCTACTCCTTCCAGTGTGACAATGGCTCTTCCAAGAATGGCAAAGTAGGGTGGAATGGAAAACGGAATATCGTTGAGGACTGTCAAAGCGTCCTGTGTCATGGCTTGGAATCCTCCCACCTGACTTTGCATATTGCTGACATCTTCCATCCCGTACAGCTTTCGTAACTCCTCTTCGTACTTTTTGGCTCCTCCTCCTTTGACATACGGACTCAGGGCCTTGTCCATGAGGGGAATAACCGATGCTCGGTTGGTATCCTCGGGTAGGATCTTTAATTTGATGAAATCATCTACCAAGTTGGCATAGTCCTTGTTGGCCAAATGAATTACGGCTGAAATCATGTTGTCGCGATCAGCGGGGCCAATGCTGGCCATGAGCCCGCAATCAATGAGAGCAACCTTGTGGCCCTCTTCCGTTGGTTCATTCAGGTACAAGATATTTCCAGGGTGGGGATCTAGAGAGCAGGTATAAATGTGAATCAGCACCATTGTGGACAAACAGAAAGTGAGTTTGTTGTTTCAACGAAGGCCAAGCATTATCTCGACACGGAGGGGGACTTACCCGCATGGAAGAACCCTGAAACATAGAAGCAGTCGAAGAGCAGACGAGAGAATGGGAGTTGAGTGCACCGAGTCCATTGCATCCTTGGTTTGTTTCACATTGCTGAGCTAACTTACCCTCTGAAAACAACTGCACCAGGAATGCCTCTTGTGCATAGGGAGTGACTTCTGCAATTTGTTCCTTACTGCACTCACTAAGTTTCTTTCCCTCCATCCATTCACTGACCAAGATTCGTCGTGTACAGAGTTCCTCGAATACATTGGGCACGACGACTCCTTGAATATTGTTGTCAATAAGAATCTGTCTCAATCGTTGTTGATTTTGTGCTTCGTTGTTGAAATCCAGTTCGGTGTAAAATCCAATACTCCACTCGTTCAAGAGGGCCACATAGTTGGTTCGTTGTTGTGGTGCAAATCGTTCTACGAGTCCTTGAAAGACTTCGGCAGCTCTTCGCAGCACGTACAAGTCTTTGGATACAGTTCCCAAGACCTCGGGTCTTTGTACCTTGACGGCCACTTTGGTATCCTTTCCGTCATTCAAAGTTGCCAGATAAACCTGTGCCAGACTGGCAGCCGCCACGGGTTCCTCTGATATGGACGTAAAGAACTGTCCCAATGGTCCTCCCAGTTCTCGTTCAATCTGTTCTACGGCAATCGTAGTATCAAATGGCACCACGGAATCTTGTAGCTTGGCCAATTCATCCAACGTCGGCTGCGGCAATACATCGGGTCGTACCGACATCATTTGTCCCGCCTTGATAAAGGTAGCTCCCAGATCTTGCAAATCAACGCGTGCCTGTTTGCTGAGTGCCGGAATTTCCTTGTCCTGTATTTTTCCATCCCGAATGAACAAGGTGGTCAATTTGGTGAGAAAGGGTACCGCCTTGCCGACGAATTCTCCCCATCGTCGATTCAGTGCTCCCCGTTCCTTATCCCAGTATTTTTCAATGAGATCCTTGTCGTAGACCCGCGGCAACCCTTCGTCGTCGAGTTCTGCAGCGGCATTGCTATCGAGTGAAATGTAGCTCTTATCCACATCGGGTGCTTCCAGTGTTTTCATGGATACAGCAGCATTAACGGCAGCCGTGGCCATGGCGGCTGCCGAAGCTACCCCCGAATTGGTGAAACGATCGGCAAAGGATGGGCTGTCGTCGGTGCTTCCATTGATTGGCTCGTTGTTCTTTTGTTCCGTCTTGCTTTCGTCCATGGTGGAAGCAAACAGCAGTGTCGACATTTGTTGGTGGTGAGATGCTGTAACCGGGACAGTGTTGGAAGTCGTGGTGAATGCGGCAGCATTGTCGGCAGACCACGCCAGCACCAATGCTGCTGCGAGTGCTACGGACGAGTATTTCATAATTAGTTGTTCTGCTGCTTGTGTTCTTTATTCCTTTTCTTTCACTCTTTGTCGTTTCAATTTTGTGCTTTCAGTGTGATCTAGAAAACAGGTCCGAAGCTACGAGAGCTTGTGTTATGGCAACCAAATCAAATCGAAGCAAAAGCAAGCTCTGACTGCTGATTCATTCAATCCTTTTGGGTTGCCAGCATAGATTATTTGCAAGAGGGAGCTGATGACTATAGACAAAAAAGGTACCGACGCAGAACAATTGAAGAGTGCTGTCGTTGCCAAATTGTGAGCTGTTGTTGGAGGCAATTGTGGGAAATCGCCACGTCACCCATTTGATCCCGAAAGTTCTTTCGAAGTCCAGCAAGAGTCACGAGAATCCGCGATTGACCAGAATGTTTGGTGGCATCACCCGACCATGCATGTTCCTTTGTCTTCATTCTTCCTGTCTTTCTGTCTACTAGCTAGTAGGGTCAGCAGTTGGTTGGTTGCTATCAGAGAGCTGTTGTGGTGGTCTATTATCTGGTTGATATCTTCCAGTTGTCAGTTGTCAGAATAGATACGGTACAGTTGATACTATATCAGAATGAAAGGCCCCACATTGTACCGATTGGCCACCGAACGACAGTACGATCGCATGGTGACACATCTACAAGACCGGCCACAAGATATCTATTGGTGTGATCACTACGGTTCCACAGCACTGCATTTACTGTGCCAAGTTCACGTACGAGATATTGAGCGTCCCCTGCTGTTGGCTATTCAAGCCATTGTCCAACAAGATCCGACTCTGATTGGTCAACCCAATCAGGCCACTTGCACTCCTCTGCATTATGCCGCCGAAAAACGACTGGTATGGGGCAATCACTACTATCGCAGTGGCGAACTCGTCTTGATGCTCCTACGAGAGTACCCTCAAGCCGTCTCGATACGGACCAAAACGGGAACTGGCAAAACTCCCTTTCATGTGGCCTGCGAAGCCAACGCCGATGCACGAGTCCTCAAGGCCATGCTACTCATACATCCTGGACTCGCCACGGAACCATTCGTCAAACGAGATGTCTACAGTCTCGCCGAAAATCCATTGCAAATCCTATGGGGACACAGTAGTATGAATCATCCCAACAATACGCAGACACACGAAAAAATGGCACTCTTGGTACGGGCGGCGCATTATGGAACCGTCGATGATGCCTGTCATGACGATCATCATTCCAAAATTAGACTTGTCAGCGCCGCCTGTTCCGTACGGTGTCCACAGGCGTACTTTTTGCATTTACTGCAAGAATATCGACAAGAAATATTTGAACTCGATGAACCAAGACAATTGTTGCCACTCCATTACGCCGTATCCAATGCATCGGTAGATTCACAACCTTACACACAGTTTGTGCTGGAATCCCTCTTGGAAGTGTATCCCGATGCGGCAGCGGTACCCAATGAAGAAGGACGGTTGCCACTCCATGTCGCACTTATGGATTCCAAACTCACGTGGCACAAAGGAGGGATTCAAGAACTTGTCTATGCTTACCCCAGTGCCTTGACAGTACCAGATCCCATACATCACTTGTTGCCATTCCTGGCATCGGCGTATAATGCATTGGAGAGCATGTTGCATCTATCCACAACCTACGAGTTGTTGAGGGCGGCACCAGATGTCATGGAAAGATTGTGGTGATCAACCAGACAACCTGCAAATCCATCCATCCATCCATCCGTCAGCATGGCTAAATTGCGGGATCACTTACTTACTTGATGGAGGGCTTGCATGTTTACCTGCATTTGTGAATTGTGGCTCCTGTTTTTCCGTCGTTTTGATTTCTGTAGTATAAAAAGGCACAATAGAGTTTACAGAATCCCAAGTCTGGATTAGTCCTGGTAAAGATGTGGCTACATGACTAAGTCAGTCTCGTTTGCTGTGCTGTTTGCCCTTTTATTCCAATCACACATGGCAGGAGCAACGCTCGCAACGCTCGCAAGTCTCTTCAGGTGGCTTTCGTAGCTCGTCACTATGCATGGCCAGCTGCAGTCGTACCATACCCCAGTATTTTTCAGTGAGATCCTTGACGTAGACCCGTGGCAATCCTTCGTCATTGAGTTCCGCCGGGGCATTGGAGTGGAGTGAAATGTAGCTCTTATCCACGTCAGGTGCTCCCAGTGTTTTCATGGAGATGGTGGCATTGACAGCGGCGATAGGCATACGGCTGCCAAAGCTACAACAGAATTGGTGAATCGATCGGCAAAGGATGGGCTGTCCTTGGTGCTTCCGTCCATTGGTTCCTTTGTCTTTTGTTCCGTCATGCTTTCTTCCATGGTGGATGCAAACAGCAGTAGCTTGCAGCTCTGTTGGCCGTACGGTAGGTAAGGCGGTGGACCTTCTCGCAATCATTCCTTAGAGTCTTCTTTGTGGAATTAAAAGCATCAACGAATCTGAAATGGTTACTAATGCTTTGATTGGATCATTCGGGACGCAATAATACTTGAAACGTCGCCGTAGAGGTGAACTGCTTTCGCGTGGCAACGGCGAAAGATCCGAAAAGAAGAGGGAAAAGATGCGTGGTAATCGCAGTACAAGCCCAGCAAGATATCCCAACCATGCTCAGTCGCGACCATACCAAGAGCACAATGTTCAAGGCAAGAAGCAACAGTGGAGAGTATCTTGCTTGATCATTGCTGCTCGTTCGCTGTCAACATCCCAAGATTTTCCAAGTGGCGAGGACAACCCTGTTCTATTACAGTATCCGTTTTGCTACCGTACATGTTCTTTGATTGAGAGCTGAACAAAAGAACAAAACCGTTGCTTTATTGAAGAAATACCCTCATCAACCATGGCCGACGATAAGTTTGACGATGAGCCTCTCAACACAGACAATGGTGCTGGGCGACCTCCACAACGCGAGCACAAGTACTCTACTGCAGACATGAAGCCAGAGAATCCTTGGAAGCGGATCTGCTGTACCATTTTGACTTGTCTCGTTTGTATCGCCATCATGATTCTCATCTCCCTTCTCATGCAAAAGCTCTTCGATCCACCCGAAGGTAGGTTGTTCCTTCCACTACATTGTTTTTTGTTATCTTTGTAGGAACTTGTTCTGAGCTCATTTTCAATCGATGCGATGCTCCTCAACCATTATCCAACTTCCTATTAATGGCTACCAAAAGATGAGGACTGGTCTGATGATGCCGTGAATGCAACGGATGATGATATTGTGGGAGTCGCAGGTGCATTGACCGGCGCAGCCGCTACACTCCCTAAGAATATGGCATTCATCGAAGACGTTTGTTCCGAAGCACGCATTGGAGAAGACGATACTGCAGCCTGTGAAGCTGCCTGTACTCCTGCTAAGGACTGTTGCAACCCCTATTCTGGTGGTGGCAATAGTACTTGCTTTGAAGGAGAACAAACTGGATGCTTTGCCTATTCCAAGTGTCACTCCTTGACTGGTTTCTTTGATGCTGCTCATAATGATTTGGATCGAGTCTGTAGCAAAGCCAGCCTTGAAATCAACCGGGAAGAGTGCGAACAGGCGTGCTCCTCTCTTTCCTGTTGCTACCAGGAATCGGAATCTTGTGTCGCTAAACATTTCGAGGCATGCTTGGATTATGCGGCTTGTCAAAATCTGAAAGAAGACTCTATTGGTGTGGCACCCATGGATTTGGATGAAACCTGTGAAAGGTCGTCACCTGTCTGCAAGAGAGAGTGTAAGGATGCTCTTTGTTGCTCCGATCCAAATTCGAAATGCTACCGCGAAAACTTTGTGGCGTGTCTTTCCTACATGTACTCAGCTTGCACTGGCCATTCCGATACCAAAATCACTGTGGCACCTATCAATTCTCGAGTGAA